CGTTCTCAGTGACCCAGAATTAAAGTTTGACTACATTTATTTCAGAAGCATTTTTGCTGTAGAGCAGTGTTATAACTTGCAGTAGCAGGCAGTTAAAAATAAAGGTCTGCAGCAATTCAGAACTAGGGTGTGGTTCACTGTCTGCATAAGTTGTGTTTAAAAGTTCCCTTCACCATTATTCAAGAAAAGAGGGGAGTACACTGGGAAAAGCTGCAAGGTTAAATATATACAAGCTGAACTTTTTTTGAGATGGTTGTTGGTGAGGTTCAATGCAGACTTTTTTTCTAATCTTGTATTAATAGGCATTCTATTTTCATTTTTAATTCAGGAAAAGACCTCTTTATGCAAATCTGCTGGTACCACATCCTAGGAATTATGATGTACATTTGGGCCTCTGTTCACCAACATAGATGCCATGTGATTCTAGCTAATCTTAGAAAAAGTAAATCAGGTGAGATGTTTCACTTCTTGGAGCTGTTTGTAATTTTTTCCATTAAAAATTTTGTGTCACAATGAATCTGTGTAGAGCCTTAGAACACTGGTATTTTCCAAAAACTCAGTGAAATGAATGCTGATGTGAATATGTATCTATGTAGATCATTTTCCAAGGGATTAAATTAGTCTATCTGGAAGAGACATGAGCTGGTGATATATAGTTATTCACAGTATGCAAGGTTTAAAACAAAGTTCATAGTTGTATTATCCTGAATAGAAATGTCTAAAATGTGTTAGGAATTTTAGGTAATTGATAACTAATAATCACATCTGTCATTTATAAATGGAGAGACTGATACGCAGAGGCTACAGAAGAAATTACTTTCCTGAGCCATGATTAGAAATTCTCACTCGATACTTAGACCTCACTTCTTAAAGTAACATTAGACATTGTATTGGGAATGAGCTAAGGTGACATTCATAACACTAGACTTTTTGTATTGGGAATGAGTTAAGGTCACCATTTTCAAACCTGAGTGGCTAAAATTTGGCTCCTTAATCCATATGTAGGCACGTAATAAAAGTGGTGTGAGTCTTTTTCAGAAGTGCTTAGCACCCACAAATCTCACTGAAGTCCGTGGGAACTGCAGGTGCTCAGCATTACTCCGTAATTATACATAAATATGGATTAAGAGTTAGAGCATGTATTTAAAACAAGCTTTATCAACTAACTTTTTTCTTTCTTTAAATTGCAGGAAAGGTAGTAAACTTGAACCACAGCATTCCTTTTGGAGACTGGTTTGAGAGAGTATCTTGCCCACATTATTTTGCTGAACTCCTAATATATGTATCCTTGGCCATCACATTTGGATTTCAAAACTTAACATGGTGGCTTGTAGTGATGTTTGTGTTGTTTAACCAGGCATTGGCTGCAGTTCTGTGCCAGGAGTTCTATGTGAACAAATTCAGCTGCTACCCAACACATCGAAAAGCATTTATACCATTTCTTTTTTAGAACCTTTATTTTTGTTAAATATATCTTTAATGTAACCTGTGAAATGCTGTTTAAAAGGTAATGGAAGACTGAGGTTCTCAGGAGTATGGTGTAATGCAACTGCTACAGAAGGTGTGGTGAAACAATACTGACTGTCTGATTCCAGCTCAAAGCTACACAGGATTTTAATGAAAAAAGTTTCATTTTGATTTAATGATAAAGGATCTGTGACAGATTTTCGGTTACCAATTTGCCTGAGGCATCCGGTGATCAGGCTGAGGCCACAGGATCTTTAGGGAGGAGATGACGAAACACACCAAGTGTCTAAATTTTAAAGCTTTATTAATAAAATAACAGCAGAGAGTGATGTGTGCTCCCCACGTCACTCAGAGGAAGGAAGAACGCGTTAGTGCCACAAGCCCTAACCCACTTTCATACTCACACATGCTCTACCCAAGGCTGACCAAGCCTGGGTGTAACGTAAGAAGAAGCGGGGGCAGGAGAGGGTGGATGGGAATTCTGTCCTGTGCGCACAGGTTGTCCAGGGTCCGCTGCGATCTCCGAATTACTCCAGCTCTCAGGAGGGTTTTTAAGTCCAGGGTTCCTTTGGGGGTGTTTCGTTCTGTGACTTCTGTTCCTGGTGTTCTTTGTACCAGTCCAAACTGGCTTTCTGTGGTCTCAACTTTCCCAAAACACACCAGCTCCAGGGACGCACATCTCTGCTTCCCGCCTCTCTCCTCCCCCGCCCCCCCACTGTCTCGCCTGTGTTTTCCATCTCTGCAGCCCTGGTTCAATGTACTTTTTCTTTCCTCATGGCTGTCTGTGGCTAAGTGAGAGATTAACGCAGCTGCAGATTTCTTCTCTAGTGCCATGACCTTGGACTGGGGCCAGTGTAGCGTCTTACTGTCGAACTGAGCTAGCTAGCTACAGTGTTGAGTTAACCTGTTCTCTGCTCTCTTCCTCCTTTCCCTTTGGCCTTTTGCAGCCTGCAACATTCCTCACTCACCTTTGACTCTTCCCAAAATGCCCTGTGATGCTTGCAACAGCTTTAGTAATATACAATGATGACCTGCCTCCCACAGGGGGACCCCTTGAGGGAGGGGGCCATTGGGGTGTGACATAGCTACAGTATATACAATCTGAACTGTACGTGGTATTAAAGACCTCAGTTAAAATTCAAGAACTGCTGATGTTTAACATTTGTATTTTTGACATTCATGTTTAATATTTAAACCACTTTCATTGCTGTTATGTAGCAAGCCAAAATGTGTGCCTGTATTTTATATGTGTAACACACATGTATGTAGGGAAGGGAAGTTGCTCAAAGTGAGGAGAAACCACTGTATTTCATCTTTTAACTAATATTTTAAAAGAAAACTATACTCATCCCCCACACACCGTGGCCATTAAATCTATTAAAAGAAGCTAACTGTTAAGGAATATGGTGCATTGCCTCTAAATATTTTCCTATGGATAATTTTGAAAGTAGTTGGTATTCTTAGAGGAGAGTGAGTATGGGATTAATGGGGAGAGGAAACCAGGATATTTCGAATATAAGGATAAGGGACCCCCACTTATGACTGTTTCATTTTTTGCTAATATATATTTATCTGTTTCAATTCACATCTTTCAGAAATACCAAATACAATAAAAGGTTGAGAAATCTCTTTGATGGGAAGGATGGGTATTCCACTGACTGATGCTCATTCTCAGTAGCAGAAATAAATCTACTTTTTAGGCAATAGAAGTCAGTGGCTGTGTTTGACCAGCTTGTTGGAACAGGAATGTCTCCATGCTGATTCTTTGTATAAGCAGTTTGTACCTCAGGGTCTGAGGAAAGATTGGGTTACTGTTTTTTTAGAGCAGAACGGCCTTATGACTGAAACCACAAGGATGCAGGGGAGAGCAGGCAAACTCTCACCCTTAGACACTTTGGATTTGTTTGGTATCTCTTTAAAACAGAATCCAGTCTCTGAGCTGATGGTGGCGGCGGATCCACAAGCAAGCATACAGGAGAGCGTGTAGATGTTCATAGCACAGAGGAAGAACAGGAGTACTTGTGGCACCTTAGAGACTAACAAATTTATTAGAGCATAAGCTTTCATGGACTACAGCCCACTTCTTCGGATGCA